CTGGTAGATCTCTACTATCCATACTCATAAAATGTTACATGACACATTTTTATCTTACGGTAGTCACCTACACTTAGCAAACAACAGCTGCTGCTAACTTCCAACCTAGGAAGCTTTTTCACTTGCGGTTGCCAACCCAATAACTAAATACATATAAAAAAAGATTTGACGAAACTTGAACATTTGTAAAATTAACAGTTGTGGGAAAAATTATTGTTATAGATTACATAATTAAGAAAAGCTGTGCGAAATCATTTGAAATTCATTTTAAAATAATAATATCATTTACTTGAGAAAAAAAGATTTTTTTTATTACTTTGATTAATCAAAACATTTTCCAATATTTTTCATGCTGCCATCTATTGGCGAAAAAGGAAAATGAAATTACTGCTGTGAATACAATTCAGCAGGAGTACCTCTATTGCGATGTAGCTATAGGTGAAGGACAGTCGAAACTTTAGTCAATTTGTGGAAGGTACCATTGAGAGAAACACAGCAAGGACTGCTCAAAATTTCGATGGGTCAAACAAATAATTCGGGATGAAACTACGCATAAACAATCAATTCTCTCTCTCCCCCCCCAGCAAGTAGAGAGCTGCTAAGAAGTCGAATCGAATAAGGAGATATGAAAGGAAAAAATAACTTCTTTAGAATCCTTAACCCTGAGTTTATTTTTAGGTTTTAACTGAAATTTTAATAAATTTCGATGCATTTTTAGAAATTTTGATTGAAGTATGCGCTTTTTCTAATTTTTTTTCTGTACATTTTGTAAATTAAAATGGTTTGTCTATCAGTTTGAAGTCTGTCTAATGGATTGCAGTGTGCTGGGCTGTTGCGCGCGTCTCTTGGTCATTGTCTGGTCGTCTTCGGACGAAACCCTGTGATTTGAACAGCTTGCAGATTCTCCAACTGTCGGGGCCGACGTGTCCTCTTGTGCTAGGCGAAACACATGGGCTTCATGACGTCTGTTTTACATTAAGGAAATAAACTAATTTGGTGCCCTTTACGTTGAGCATAATGAATAAGAAAGAATTAAATATTAAAAAGCGTGGAAGAAATTCCAATTTTTATTATATAAAGCTGTAAGCTAACAAACATTACTTATATTATTTTTGAAATATTTGACTGCAGTTTAAATTATGATAATGGCTAATTCAAAGCCAGTGAGAAAAATTCCTTGCTCAACAAAACAAAATATCCAAAACAGCCAAACATCAGTAAAGCTACGATTTTTTTAAATATAGAGAAGTATTCGCTTTCCATTTCAAAATTTAATTCCTGTAAGAGAGAATTCATGTGTTTGATTTTCTTTAAGAGATATTATCCAAAAAATAGAAAATTTTAAAGCAAATTATAAACAATGCAGTTTGGCGTAATTAAATTCAAATCTATTTTTGTTTCATAAAAAAATATTATATCTATTACTAGTATTAATATATCTATTACTAATTTTTACATTCAATGTAAAAATGTTTACTCATAATGGAAAGTTTTAATTCTAAAATTTTACATTGCATGTAAAATTCCACAGTATGTTTTGAAAACAATCTTCCATTGAATGTTTTGAATTTTAAAAGATAAAATAAAATATGCAGTTTTTGAAGAAATAAATAAAGTTTGAAGAAATAAATAAAAACAACTTGGCTGAATCTAACTTTAATTATTGTGCAGAATATATATTCTTCTAGTATGTAGGAAAAATGACAGCTGTGAGTAACTTAAGTGCTATAGAGTAAGCCATAGATATAAAGCATATAGTGCAGAATATCCCCTATATTAGTCCCTAGAGTTAGCAAACGGTTTCCACAAATAAGAATATTTTTAACCCTTTTCCCATTGTCCGGCCACTCCCAAACATATCTTGGAGTCAGCAGGGAAGAAATCTATTCGTCTTCTTTGACATCTTTAAAGTAGGTTTCTTGGAGAGACAGACGAGATAAGAAGATGTTCTTGTTTCAGCTTGTGTTTTTAAATCGAAGTGTAATGAGTCCTATTTTTACAAATGATACGAGCAAAACAATGGATGAAAAAAAAATTACAAAAAATGCTGTATAATAGTTTTAATCTTTTAATCTGCTTTTCTATTTTAAGTTTCATTTTCAGACATTATAAATTATACTGACGCAGCATTTATTTAAATAAGTTTCAACTCCTGAAATGTTACAAAATAGCTTTTTTTTAATTTCCTGGTTTATAGCTGAATCAGGGTTGCATTGTATTCGAACAGAAATTACATTATGCTATGAAACAACATTTATTAATCGTCATGATGTGATGGATAAAGTAAAAATCAAAAGTAAACATGGGAGAGCTAATTTAGACCTCGACCTTTATTATGGAATAACTGCCAGGGTCACAAAAAATTTATTTAGACAACAGTCTCATAAAAACGTAATACAAATAATTTATTTTAAATTTCGATTGACAAATTCAGATTAAATGTATCAAGAGGAGAAAAACTCTTCCATAAAAACTACACTGATAGAAAGAAACTGGTAGAAAGGCTCTGAATCTAGAAGAGACCAAAGGTGGAAGTCATTGTCCTGAATGTACTACACTCTAGGAGAAGGATTGGGCGTTTTTGACTCGTTCTGTGGCCTCTGGTTTGACAGATCTCAATCCGTGTCGATTATTTTTCAGTTGGGAAATATTATATCACTTGTTTATTCGAGATCTGTGAACAAATCAGCGAATCTTAGAGCGAGGTTTGACGTCGCTTTCGCAGACATTAAAACAATCAAGACTTTTTCAAGGGCAATTATGAATCATTTTTACCTCGTTGTAAACATTGTAAAACAACTTTTGTGATAATTAAGCAAATAAATCTTATGGTAATTGGTGGATTTGCAGTATTTTTAATTTTGATGAAATTGCCACAATATTCCGGGTAAAAGCCGGTCCAAAACCATATTTTAAAGTTCAAATACATAAAACTGTTCCAGTTAGAAATGAAAGCTAGACATTGGCTATCATGTTCACCAGGCTTTTAAGCAGAAACGACTCATAATCTCACTCCCGTCACAGTTCAAACAATTTTCAACACAACAATGGTGATAACAGTTTCCTTCAGTTTTATACTCTACAACGTCAGAATGAAAATTGATAAATATTAGGATAATAAAACTTATTTTAAGTTCACTTTTAATACTCTCGAATGACCATTACACTGAAAATACACTGGTTATCATANTTGTATATTGTGGGTAAGTTTCATAAAATTCCATGTGTAATTTCTTGAGTTATCGCGATTTTTGTGAATTTTCCTTAATTTATGATAACCAGTGTAGTTTAAAACTTATGCTTGCATTACTTTTGGTATCCACAAGTATCCATTTTATTTGTAACCCTATGCATTGAGGAAAATCATTTAATGCTTCCTAATATGGAAGTGAAAGAGGGAAAGATTCTAAAAAATAACTCCTTTGAAATGCAAATCTAATTCTTATTCAGTGGTATGTTTTCAGCCTTGAAGTTCCAAAATAGAATATCTCTACACCTATTCTTTACCAAAGACATTTTATGAAACCGAAAGAGTTTTAATTCATTTATTAATACAAAAGTATTCATAATTTTTCTATATATATATGTAATACAAAAATTAAATACTTTTGTATTAATAAAAGAATTAAAACTCTTTCGTTTTCATAAAATGTCTGTTAAAGAATAAGCTTAGAGAGATTCTATTTAGGGAATTCAAGGCTGAAAACATACCATTGAAATATAAACAGATTTATATTTCAAAGGAAGAGTTGTTTTTAGAATCGTTCCCTTTTTCAATTCCATATAAGGAAGCAGAAATGATTTTTCTTAATGCGTAAGGATACAAGGAATGTACGAAGGTGCCTTTTTACCTCAAATCTGTGTTGGTATAAAACGTAAGAGCGCATAGTTTTGCGTGTCCTTTCATCATCTTTAGTC